GAATCAGTACCTATTGAAGTATATACTTCATCTCAGCCATGGGAGTGCAGTCTTTCCCCTTTAATTGATCTACATTCTCATAAATTTGGTAGCATGTGCAGCTCGAGACTAAATATTGGCAGATATTACTGGCTCTGACCAGCTGAAATAAATCCCTCCTCACCACAGCCCAGCCACTCTGGCCCTGCTGCCTCCTTGGGTGTCCCCACTGGCCTCAAGCCACTGCAGGGGCTCCCAGGATCTCTCTTAGCCTGGTACAGACACCCACAGCAGACACGGGGACAGTCCTGTAACAGGGAAAGGAGGAGGCAGCCTTGTGACTGGTAAATGGTAAAAAAGAAACTAGCCAGGATGTGCAGCTGTGTAAAATCCACCCTGCTCTGCCCTGGGGCTGGGGCGGGCGCTGGAGAGAGGGACAAGTGCCTGTCCTGTGGACAGGGACTGTGAGGGGCCAAGCAGCCTCTGCACCAGGGTTTGTGAGCTGCTGAGGCCCTGAGAGATAAAACTGCTGCTGCTGACTCGTCTGGCTAGGGCTTGTCACTGCTGGGCTCCCAGTGACCCCAGTGTGCTGCGTCCCCCTACCCTGGGGAAAGGAGGTGTACAGCAGATTGCAGGCAAATGCCAGGAAAATCAGAAGAGGATATTTGACTCAGAGATAAGAGCCTCCTGCTGCAAGGTGTGCCAGAAACAAAACCCCTGCTTTGCCTATGCCATGGAACAGGGCGAGTCCTGTTATTGGCAATGGCAAACCTGCTCCTGTCCAAAAACCCTGTGCACTGTCACTCAGCATTGTAGGATAATTAAAAGGGCTTTGGAGCCAGCATTTTGTGTGTAAAGGCATATATGGGGGAAAGTTTCAGAATGGAAATTAGGCTGGGGAGACAGTGATGGGACTGGATGTGTCAAGTGTGAGAGGATGTGCAAAAAATGGTCCTTCAACCCCACCCACGCAGGCAACTGTGTCATGTCAGCAGATGATGCCACTTTTTCCTTAGAAAGTGGAGGCCAGAAAAAGGAGCCCAGGGAGTTAAGGTGTGTGCAGATGCAGTTTGATGGTACAATGAAGCTGATGTTAGGAGCAAGCACCCAGGGAAGAGGTGGTCCTATCTCCTCCTATGCCCTCCCTGGTGCTGGGTGCCTGAGTCCAGCCACGGCTGTGTGCTGGGGCAGTGGGCTGGCAGCACTCCCCATTTCCCAGTTTTGGGTGAGGTGGTGTCTGCTGCTTTTGCTCCCTCAGGTGACCCTTTGGTGTCAGGCATAGAACATCCCTGGCACAAGGCAGCAGGTGAGCTCACCAGCTGGTTCCAGCAGACTCCCCGTTGTCCCATGCCACTGCCACTCTGCCATGGCACCAGATTTCAAGAGGGCTCGAGTGCTTAAATGTCTGTGAAGATCAGAGTGTGCAAATGTTGATTCACCTGCGCTGCTGGCTCAGGGTGCCATCCCTCCGTGCCTCTCCCTGCCCTGTGCTCCAGGCTCAGCAGTGGTTGGCAGCATGGGCAGCTTTTTGCAGGTATTTATCTGCAGCTCCATGAGGCTGAGAGCACGTTAATGTTTGGGACACTCCAAGGTGGCAGCCAAGGGCTGTTGACTTGCCTGAGCTTGTGATATCACCAAAGGGCAGTTCCTCTGCCTCACTCCCCCCCTCCTTTCCTGCATGTTCCTATAGTCCCTGTGTAACCCCCACAAGAAAAATATACTTGTTTTTCAGCTGCCAGGGCGGCCTGGGCCCCACTGCCAGACTGGGGAAGGTGCTGAGAGCCACCAGAGGCAGCGGGGCCCACGCTGCCCGAGGGCCGTGCAGATTTGGGTGGCTGTCTGCCATTGTTTCCCCTCAGCCTTGTCCTCAGGGCTGCTCAACTCTCATAGCGGTGTTTGCTCCCCAAGACCCAGCCCTGCTCTCCTGTCCCAGCACGAACCTCTCTGTCCAGCCTTGCAGCGCCAGCCCCGTGACAAACCCGATCAGATCAGACTGTGTACCCACAGGTTAGCAGGCTGCAGCTTCCCAGGGACAGACCCAAACCAGCCGAGCCACAGCGCCTCACACACACCACAGCCAGCCGGGCCTCCTCATGGCGGCACCATGCATGGGCTTTTCCCCAAAGCACAGCAGCAGTTTTCTCTATCCTCTCACCAGCTGCCTGGGTTGTGCTAAACACAGCCTACACACTCCTTTAGAATCACAAAAACCAAAATGCTTGGAAATGAAATCAGGTACTGGGCTGTCCTGCCTCAGGGTGTTGTAGCAACCTGCAGCAGGTAGCCCTGAGCTTCACCTTCCCCCAGCTGCCAGCCAGGGTGCCAGGCAGGCAGCCGCTCCCCCATCCCATCCCCTCCCTCCTCAGCTTGCTCAGGTGCAGGGGATTTCTATCCAATTTCCATCAGCAGGAGCCAGTGTATTTAAGCCACAAGGCTGGCAGATTTAGGAGGGGAAAATATGGGGTGGTTTTGTGGTAAAGCTGGGGGTGGGGGGTTTTCACCTTACTGCTATAGCAGCCTACTTCCCTGGGAGGCAAAGGAGCAGCTCTTGTCTCATACCTGAAGCATTTCTCTTTGGTTATTTAGAGGTGAGGATGTGTTAGGAGCTGTGACCTTTCTGTCCTGATCTATCTGTGGTGAGTGTATTGAGCCTGTGCAGGAATTGGATTGCAGGTGACAGAGATTTGGGCTCTTTTTGGTACTGTACATGAGGTACCTGCTGGCCCATGTTCCAGTGTTGTATCTGGCTAGTCTAGAAAGTTCCTTCCCCATTAAACATTTTTCTTTTCTTTCCTTTCTGTTTCATATTTCTCCTTTTCCCTGTCTTCCACAAAATTATGCTTGTCTAAGATCTGTCAGTTATCTGTTATCTCTAGCTACTTCCAGCAGAGAACAAATCACTTCCAAACTTTATAGGTCAGTTGGGTCAAGACTTAATTTTCTTTGTGCAATACACTTTGCAGCTCATCTCTTCTTCCTGTTTATTCCTGATGTGATGCCCCAGTCTGTAAGCTCCTCCTGTACACAGGCTTGCTAAGCCTTCCAAGAGCTTTTCCATGATATTTCATTCTCTGTATTTGAAGAATCATTTGCTTTCAAAAGAGATTGAGGTACTGCCAGGCTGAACAGACTTACTACTTAGATAATTTTTGGGTGAATATTGACAGCCTGTGAAAAGCTGGCTCTACTGGAAAAAAAAAAAAAATTGGAGCACAAAAAGAAAAGCATTTTTCTGACATAATAATTGTTAATATTTGTTGCTCGTTTTTACTACCACCATGCCTATGGGAACTCAGCATCAGCAAAATCTCTAGTGCCTAGATTATCTTAAACTGTGCCAGTAAGGACTCTTACATCTTACCAAAAGCAGCCTGAACTCAGTTATTTTGTCTTAAAATTGAATGGTTGCCTGTCTTTAAGCTGACAGATCCACTCTTTGCAAAATAAGTGTGATTTTTAACTCAGACACAAGCTACCACCCAGATTTACATCATTGTGACAAAGTCCTTTTGCCAAGAGTTCTTGGGTAGGATTCAGACAGGGAGGTTGTGGTAGTGGTTGTTCAGACATTCCTTTCAATGAACTTTTAACTCCAGCGAAGGCAGGTGAAGCAGCCAGTGTCTGTGCAGTTGTTGAAGGTCCCTGGGCAGTGCATGAGCCCCTGCACCTTTCCCAGGTTTCCATCAGAGCTGAGGCAGCTGCAGCCTTAGCTCTGGCTGCTCCCTGGCCTGGCTGGTTTGGGCATGACATATCCCACAGTTTTTATGGAGTTTGGCAAGGGCAAATGTCCCAATGTCTTATTTTGGCTTTTCTCTGTGGGACAGAGATCAGGATTGATTTCTTCTGGCCCAGAGTAGGTGTTGGTGACAGCTATAATCAACACAGAGATGCTTATAGTGTTGATGAACAAAAGCAGCTGCTGGGAAAAAAAAAAAAAAAAAAAAAAGAGGAAAGTACATTATTTTGTGCCTAGAAACAGGTAAGTAGCTTTATAGAGTGATGCTGCCAGGACTTCATTTAAGCCTGTATGGGAACCATACCTTCATCAGAAGGGTCAGAAAACATCAGTGCTTGCCAGGTTTGCTTCAGGTTGACAGTGCCTGTGTAAATAATTGTCCATTTGTAAGATGCTGAAGTTTTAGCACTAAAACTCAGCTCAGGGGTTTGTTCAGGGCTTTCAAAAGTATTGGCAACTCATAAACAGCTTTGTAATAGCACTGAAAACCATAGGTGGGAAGCTGCACAGGGTATCTGTAGCTCTGGGCTTTGCTGGGCAAAAGGCACTTGTTTCCAGGTATGTGCAGTTCTTGGTATTTTCATTTTACAAAAAAAAAAATTTGTTTTCTCTTCTACGGATGAGGTGGTGATGTATTGGATCATTTTGATTGCATCATGTTGGCAGAGTGACGGGAAGGGAGAATGTTCATCTTGACCTCCCGGGGACAGCCTTCTGCCTGCTTTCCAATCTCCAATGCAAGCTGATAGCAAGTGCATCAAATAAAAATCACCATTTGGTCAGCTTATCAAAACAACTATAAAACCTGAAAGAAAATAAGCATGGAGCACAAGTTCTGTGAGGAGCAGCTAAAGGAACTCAGATTGTTCAGCCTGGTAAAGAGAGGTCTGAGGGAGGACCTTATTACTCTATAACTACCTGAAAAAAGATTGTGGCCAGGAGGGGGGTCAGGCTCTTCTCCCAGATAATGAGCAACAAGACAAAGCAGCCTCAGGTTGTATTAGGAGAGGTTTAGTTTGGACATTAGGAAAAAATTCTTCACTGTAAAGGTGGTTAAGCATTGGAACAGGCTGCTCAGGGAATTGGTGGAGTCACCATGCCTGGAATTCTTGACAACACATGTAGATGTGATGTTTAGGGACATGGCTTAGCGATGGGCTTGGCAGTGCTGGGCTGATGACTGGATGCAGTGAGCTGAGGGGTCTTTCCAAGCCCTGCTGCTGCTGTGTGTGGGCTGGTTGCTGCAGTGGGTGTTTGGCACTAAAGGTGTTTGTGCCCCTTGCAGGCCTGGCGGAAGCGCTGGTTCGTGCTGCGCAGGGGCCGCATGAGCGGGAACCCCGATGTGCTGGAATACTACAGGAACAACCACTCCAAAAAGCCCATCCGCATCATAGACCTCAATGAGTGCGAGGTGCTGAAGCACTCGGGGCCCAACTTCATCAAAAAGGAATTTCAGAACAACTTTGTCTTCATCGTGAGGACCACCTACCGCACCTTCTACCTGGTAGCCAAGACTGAGGAGGAGATGCAGATCTGGGTGCGCAATATCAGCCATATCTGTAACTTTGGACATCTGGAAGATGGCACAGGTAGGATCACGCTCATCTTGGAGGCTGGGAGAATGCCCAGGGATGACAGGAGGCATGGACCTGGGCTGGGCAAGTGTAAGAGGACTGTGGTTCCTATAGCGCTGTACAGACTGAGATGCTGCTAAACCCTGATCTGAAAGTTCTCAGGGACCTCACTGCTGCTGGGTGGGAATACTCACTGACTGCTTGGTCTTACTTTGATGAATCAATTCCTGCTGGAGCAAACAGCAGGTCCTTAATAAGAAAAGGTGCTGTTTTATGTGAAAAGCTGACTGTTATCTTCTGGGGCCATTTATTTCATTATATGTCCTGTATTTATTTAGTTAGGCATAATGTAAGACACCTGTTCTAGGAAAGCATCCTGCACAACTCCCATTTTCTCAGGCTTTGCTGGATGTGGAATGTGCACAGACTTGGGTGTATATGCATGTACATAAATCAATGACAGAAATACTAAGCTGCCTTAGTCTGTTAATAAGAGAAAACAAAGAAAAGGCAGAGGATAGGAGTGTTAGAAGTGTATGTATAGACTTAAGAGATAGTCCTGCCAGAGAAGCATCAAGACAGTTCTTTAGCTGGGCCCTACACCTGTATATACTCAGCAGAGTGAATTTCTTGAAAAACTGCCAAGGATTAACCATTCCAAGATGGATGTAGCCAGTAATTAAAGTGGGGACCTGTACCATCATTAACTTACCTTTTAAATGAGACAGTCAGGCTCAGATAACAGCAATCTGTCTTTCCCTTGACAATTCCAAGGGGCAGATACAGCAGCAATTTGAGAGTTTCAGAGGAAGTGAGTCAGAACGAAGCCTTCAATGTGATAAAAGGCAGTGCAGGAGTAGAAGAGGGGGCTGTGGAGGGGCACAAGCCCTAGGGCAGTAATGTGTTTGGGAGTATCATGTGTGGCCAGGCAGTTTATCCTTCCATGGCCTTTGTGCTGCTGCACTCAGAGTGCTGCTGGTGTCTGCAAGTGCTGCATGGCCACACCATTACCAAGCAACTTGATAAGAAATAAAAGGCTATGGGAAAGGTTTTATTTTAATCTATCATGGTTTCTGGCATTGTTTAGCTGCCCTTTGAGTAGTGTCTTCTGAGGAAAATGGGAGTAGCAAGAACACTGCAGTGGTCCTGCTACAAATGTGATGTCTGTTCTTTTCCCATTCACTTCAGAAACCACCATGAAAACTTGCTGACAGATTATGTGTCAGTACAAGCTGCCCATGAATACAAATTTCAAAGTAGGTCTGGTAGGGATTCGAATCTACTGCCCTTTGGAGGTTGGATGGAATTAGGGATGTTCAGTAACCACCTTCCTACTGTTCTACCTTTGTTCATGATGAGTTGTTGTTCTTGGATTGTTATTTGTGGTGTAGGTTTATTTGAGATATAGCTTTACCAATTACTCTGAAGTTAAGGTAAACCCTTCTGTGCAAAATAGAAAAATAATTTTTGTCTCTCAAATGTGTAGGCAGCCTTCTCCTGGCACTGTGTGAGGATATTAATGGGGGATGTGATCTGTGGCAAGGAGCTAAGATATTGGCTTAAGACAGTCCCAGACAGATGCATTTATACTGGAAAATGCCTTCTCTGTTTTGCTGGTGCAGTGCACTACTGCTTGTAAGACTTGCACATGGACAATACTCAGAGTATTACACATTGGAGTTTCTCTCTGAACAAAGATTGCCAGTGTGGGCACTGATGGATGAGAAATGACAGCTCTTGCAGCAGCAGTTGGGAAAGCTGACACTCCAGCTTTCCAAGGCAGATATTACCCCCCAAGAAGTTCAGCACTGCTGAGCATTTGCCTTGATTCAGTACAAAGTCTGGCACATGAACTTGCAGCCCTCATCAAGGATGGTGTGAGCTAAGCCTCCAGACATGCACTTGCTCTGTCTCTAATGCCAAATAGCTTCTAAGAGCTTCTATTTATCCTGCAGCTCCTGCCAGTGAGCTCAGGTCTGGGGTGTATCCAGGTCAGGCTGCCAAGCACATCCAGATCCTCTGATTTAAATCTGCACAGTTCCACAAGTTGCACATCACATTTCAAACAGTTGCTAATTGCTTCAGCTTTTCAGGATCTCCTAAATTCTCCAAAAGCCTGTACGTTTAAACAAATTACCCTTTAAAATTAACATTAGAAGAGAAAAGCCCTATTAAGTGCCACATGCTTTTTTAACTTGAATGCTACTGCTTAAAAAAAACACTAGTCCCTGCTATGAGTCATATCACTCTTAATCTGTGCATCTCTGAAAATTTGCTGTGACTCAAACCAAAATACAATCTGCTGCTTTCTCTGCTCAATGCCCAAAGTGTAGCCACAGGTTTATGCAGTGACTCAGCTGTAAGTGCTGTCCTGTTGTTCCCAGTTAGTCCCTCCCAGTAGCAAAGAAGGACAGACAGCCAGCTCCCCACGCCAGAGGTGTTGGCAGCCACACGCAGAGCAAAGTTCCAAAAGCCGTGGCTCCTGTGAGTGCAGCTCTGTAGTCAACAGGAGAGGGGACAGCTGAGAGGCAGAGATGACATGGCAGCTCCAGGCAGATGTCAGGAAGCACCTGGGAGGGGGACTGTCAGGGAGGACTTGCCAGCAGCACTCACACACTGCTGCCACCAGAAAGTGCTGCTGGCTGTGTTGGAAATGACAGGGGAGTTGGCACCTCTGGGGAGTCAGCTGGAGGAGAGAGGAAGAGGCCTTGCTCCTGGTTTTCCTGCCCTATCTGAGCAAAATCTGTTTCTATCTTTGGTGAAGCCTCCCAATAGAGCCATCATTCCCCAGCCCCACAGGATCCATGGCCATGCAGGGGATTGGGAGGACACTTGGCCCGAGTGACTGGGGCAGAGGAAGGGATGGAATGAAGTGGGACACCAGGGGCACAGTTTATCTCATGTGCAAGCTGAAGCCGTGACTAATTGATGCAATCCAGTCTAACAGCTTTTCATTGAAGAAACTAGTGGGAAGGTTGTTTTCCTAGTTTCATTAGGAAGCCTTACTGTTATTATTTCTACCTCCTTGGTATGTCAGTGCAGCCTTGGGGTGGTTGATATGAGAAGAACACCCCTATTCCACCAGGCCCCTGCACAGCTGTTGCACCATAGCAATTTTTGGGGAGGGGGCTGGGGTCTGTAGCAGAAGGGGAAAGCCCTCTGTTTCTCCAAGCTATGGCCCTTCACTGATGGGAGAGGTCACTGTGGAAGATGCTGTGCAGCCTCTGTGGTGGCTTTCTCCATAATTGCAGGGCAGAAATGTTTGGTGTTAGTACCCACCTAAGCAGTTATTTTGGCATCTAACGCCTCTTGCTGTCTCTCTGGCAAAGGGGATGGCAGACACCAAACCTATTCTCTGCCTTCTCACTGTTGAAAGTAGCCATGCATAATTTATTCTGCCCAGCTGCTGTCATGGTAGTTTTAATGCACACAATTTGGTTACCAGCAGAGCTGGCAGGGACAGGAACAGTCTGTGAGGAGCTGGCTGCAGGTCCCTGATCCCCTGAAGGTCAGAAAAGGGCAGGTCTGTGCTGTCCCCACCCCTCCCTCCTGCTCATAACCGTTGCCATGTGATCTGCAGCTCACAGCCTTTCCTGATGGGATAATCCATGGCTAAACCCTGTGAGTACCAGATGGAGTTCAGGCCTGTTCATTCTCTGTGTTAATAACTCAATGTCATTAATTTCTTTCTTATGCATTGTGGCAGTTTTAGTTGTTGGTTTGTTGGGTTTTTTTAAATGTAGTCAGATGGTGAACATGATTTTCTGAGATCCCATGGGAGTTAGCCCAGTGTATGTTTGATCATTGTCAGCTTGCAAGACAGCTCTGAGTCCTGGATTTAAAGGCAGAGTTACTGTCTGAGCCAGCACAATGAACAAAAGTTATTTTTCAGATGGAAAGTCTGCAGCCCTCAGCTCTGCTTTGCAAATGTGAAACCCTGTAAAAGCCATTCCTTCCAGATGATCACTGATGCAACCCTGCTGCTATAAGCACCTGCTCAAAATTAAAGCAAATCCTTTGCTTACACTTGAATTTAAGCATGCTCTTAGATGCTTTGCTGACCTGAGGCCCACCACTGCCCACATCTCTGAAGCTAATTGGAGGAAGCAACAGGGAGTCAATAGTGGTAGATGGGAAGGAAAGAAGCAGCTCCCTCCCAAGTTGAAAGGGATGAGATGTAGGACAGTGCAGGGAGGGAAGATCAGCTGTTTTATTCTTCTTCTGCTATCTGAAAGATGAGGGGTGAAGCCTGCTGTGGCTGGTGTGGGATCCTGGATCACTGGAATCATAGACTATTCTCAGTTGGAAGGGACCTGTATGGATCACCAAGCCAAACTCCTGGCCCTGTACGGGGTGGCCCCAAGAATTACACCATGTGCCTGAGAGGGTTTCATTTGTGTTTAATTGTGTTTCTGTCTTCTCCATCCCTCCTGGTCTGCTTGCATGTATACCCAGCACCTCCCAGAGTTGAGAAGTGACTACAGCTACCTGGTACAGTGCCAAGGTTTAAGGCTCTGTTGAGGCTGGGACTAGACTGGACCTACTGGAGGGTCTCAGGACCTCAGCACACAGTGCAGGATGTGGGGTACAGGAAACATGCAGCTGGTCAGGGGCTGGTTCCCAGAATTTCCATCAAGCTCTGGATATCAGCATTAGATAAATCTGCCATCTTGCTGCACATTAAAGGGATGTTAATTCTCGGTATGGTTTTATCAGCAGTTGCTGGTTTCTTGTGTTTGTTTCTTCTGTGGGGTTTTTCATTTTGGAGAGGAGTTTGGCAGCTTTGACTCAGGCAGTGTGTGAGCCACAGAGATGGGTATCCACTGCCAAGCCCTGCAGGTGTCAGGGACCCAGTGAGCACTGCCCCATCCCCACACAGCTCTGGTGAAGGAACTGCCATGCAGCAACCTGAAACTTCATTAGAAAAATCATATTCCCTAACTGAGGACTTGTGCTCTTGGTGGCACTGTTTGAGCTTGCTGCCAGAAGCAGATGCTTTTGGGGAGCTGCTCTGTAAAGACACCCTTCCCATTCCACAGCTGCCCCTCGTGGGAGGTCTGGATTGCGCTTGATTTTTTGAGTTGGAATGCCCCAAAAGCATAGTTTAGCTTGACTCTGTGTGGCTCAGCCATCACTCCTTCCTTTCTGCCCAGCTCTCTAGCAGGGACAGAGGTTGGGAGAGGAGCAGAACCAGACTTCTCTGCTGCCAGGCAGTGCTCAGGCCAGATGAGTCTGCGTGTCCCAGCCACAGGCTGCCACTGAAGGGTGGCCTTGATGGTGTGAGCAGGCAGCCAGCTCTGGGCCAGCCCCACTGCCTGCAGCCCAGGCCCCCTCCTGGCCCACTGCCATCCCACTCTGTGCTGGGGACATTGGAGTGTTATGCCCAGAGAAGGTGTCAGTGAGCTCGGGCTCCCTGTGCCTTGTGACGTCCAGAAAAGTAGTGTCACTTTTCTCAGCAGAGCCCAGAAGCCTCCAGCTGGGCAGTTACAGCCACAGCGCTGCTCTTGTGGTTTGGTGTCCAGCCGAGAGAGGCATAAAAAGCTTGTAGACAAGTTCAGAGCTTGTCTGGCTACTCCATGAGCTGGAATGATCAGGTTTGTCTACTGAAATCTAAAAAGTAGCAAGAAATCAATCTCTTTCCTTATCACCATTAATTTGAAGTGTTGGAGATGAATAATTAATTATTTGCATTAGATACTAAAAAAATACTTGGTAAAACAGGCTGCTGTGCTTCAGCTCTTTCTTCAGCAGAATCTTTTCTTCATTGCTGGCTGCAGGAGGGAGAGGGGGACCCCAGAGCAAGGGGTCTGCACTTCCTACAGCCTGAAGGACTTTGACAGCCTGGACAGGGGTAGCAAAATGAGGCTTCCCCCTACCCAGAACCAGCGTTTGCCTTGACTCACTGACTGTTCTGGCTAAAACATCCCTGGTGCAAAAGCAGGGTGGTGACAGCCAGGACAGTCAGAGGCCAGGGCGAGGCAGAGCCATCCCTCAGCCGGGCCATCTGTTGCCATTTCAGGTTCTGTGGAGAGCCTGTCTCACACGACCTCGTCCCCACAGCCCTCGCCGGCCGCCTCCACGCACGCCTCCCGCATCGCCGACCCCTCCTTCTCAGTGGAGCACGCTGCTGCTGATGCTGCAGCTGAGGAGACCCCCAGCGAGTCTGGGTCAGTCTTCCTCCCTGACTACCTCTTCCTGTCCAACTGCGAGTCGGGCAAGCTCAGCCACAACAGGTGAGTTTGGGCTCTGCCAGATGTGTCAGGCTGGAGCCCCCCTCTGTCTCTTCGGGCATGAAACTGGGGCACACAGCCCCAGGGAGCCCTGCCACTCAGGGCTGGCTCCCAAACACAACAGGGGACCACCAGCCTAATCCAATTTACAGGGTGCTTTTCATAGCACAGATTAGTGGTTAAGCATCATGTGTTGGTCCTGTCCTTTTCCAAGGTGGGTGGCTGAGGATCTGACACACAGCATCCCTCCAGACACCTGCTGTTGCCCAAGGTGCTCCACAAAGTGCCCCAGCCTCCAGTCCAGCTCAGAGGGAAGGGACAGGTCATGTCCCACACTGTGTGGTTGGCTTTTTTGTTTGCTGTGTTCTTCCAGCCAGAAGAAAAGGAAAGCTCAGGTCCTGACCTCTGTCTCCTTGCAGGTGTGACAGCTGGTCAAATTCAGACAGATCTCTGGAGCAAACATCATCAGACGATGTTTTTGTTGACTCCTTGCAATCCCAGCCCTCCTTGTACCTTGTACAGCCAACCAGTGCTGGCGCTGTGCACCAGGTCGGCGCCCCAGTGGCAAATCCCAGCATGGTGTCCAGGAGCACAGACGTTAGTGGACCATCCAGTGACTTTTCCTCCTCTTCCCCACTGCTGGGGACGCCGCTGACACCGACATTTCAGATTGACAAGAGCCAGAAGGCGCTGCCCTATGGGGTAACACAGCTGGACGTGCTGTCCAACACGCCACCGCCGCGGCCGCCCAAGCCAACGCACTTCTCGGACAGGAGGGGAGAGGAGCTGGGCAGCGGGGCCCTGCAGAACGGGCACGCAGGGATCTGCCGGCCTCAGGTCGCTCTGGTGCCTAGAAGGATCTCCTTGTCCAGCTTGGACAACATGAGGAACTGGAAAGGTGAGTGCACTTCCAAGAGCCAGCAAAGCAGCACCAATGTGGGGCATGGAGCTGCCCACATTCACAGAATGGTTTTGAATTCCTGTTGTACCCCTCTGTCCTGCCCTGTGTGAAATTTCACACCACCCAATGTAACACCAAGTGCTGCTTTCAAATTAGCAAGCAGGATTCAGTCCCTTAGGTTTGCTCCTGCTGTGTAGAAGCCTCTCAGTATGTGTACAGATGGGCAGCAATTTCACTCTGATCCCTTCAGGGTGCCTCATGCCTTGCTAATTTTTACCCTTCCTCCTCAGAAGAGAAAGCAGTAGAAAAACCAAAATGAGAAGTCAGCCATTGAATTGGGCAATGCCAAACTCTGTTTATACAGGTCAGAGTGTGGGCTTGCATGTGGGAAATGCCTCTGGAGCTGTGCTGCTTTGCTACACCCAGTCTGTTATGTGATAGCTGTGTGTCTTTTCACAGCTTAGAGTAAAGACCAGGAAGTCAGGGAGACACTGGGGATGGGATGTAATCCTGGTTGAACCAGGGACTCTACATGTCCTTGAACAAATCCCACTCTGTCCTTGCACTTCTGTCTGGGCAGTCTGAAAACCTGCTGCTACAGAGCAGGGCAAGGCTGCAAAGCAGACTCTACTCTGAGCTGAGCTGGCTTTTCCACTTGCTCCTGAAACATCATCGTTGCAAAAAAGGGCAGCAGTCAAAACCCAGAACATCATGATGTCAAAAAACAGCATACACAGTATGAAAGAACTTTATTACACGGAGCCACAGAGCAGAGGGAGGCAGCTGGAATACCTGGCTGGAAATCATCAAGTATATTGTAGTCATGTGAAAACCTTCATTTTTGATGAGGAAAATAGTAGGTTTTTAAGGGCAAGCATCCTTTTGACTCCTGCACTTTGAATGACCAGACAATGTGTGGGGCTGTTAGCTCTTGCTCTTAAAGCTCAGAAGCTAAAGCAAGGAGATCTCTGCTGGGTCTGTTTGTCAGCATACAGACAGTTCTTGGAAGGTTTCTGGAGAAACACCCATCAATAGAATTGCTATTCTGAATTATCAGCTACATTTGGTTGCTCCCTGAGAGGTGCTGCTCTTGCTTCTGCACGTGTGCTGCTCCAATGCAGCTGGTTCATGATCCTCCAACCCAATTTACACCAAAATGTCTCTAAGAGGATTAAGTGGCCAAATGTCATGTTGTGCTGCTGTGCTGCAGGGTTGTCTCTGCCTGATGGGGGCAGCAATGAATTAATAAGTGCTGCCACTTTTTCTTACCCTAAGTGTAGCTGAAACTATTTGAAGGGTTAAACTCTGAATTAAAATACATTTAACAAGAAAGATCAGAAAAATAAAGAAGGAGAAAGCAGCAGTTCCTCACCAGCTGCCCCAGTGAGTGCACTCAAGTTATTAACTTGATTTTTTGCCCTGCTAACCTACAAAAGGTGCCCAGATGTAATTGGCCCAGGGCGAAAGCAGCATGAGCCAGTGGAAGTGCCATGAAGGAGGATGAGCTGTGAGGCACCTGTATCCTGGCACCTGCCACAGCCTTGTGCCTCAATGTCTTTTTGCCATAATAAATAAATGTAGCTGTCCCAGGACAGTGTCTGTGTCTATCTGAATACATATCTGCACTAACTGAATTGCTTTGTTCTTGTTTAGACTTTTTGGCTGGTGCCACAAAAAAAAGCCCCCAGTTGCAGTACTGACATCTCTACCATAAGAGCAGGGAATGGATTAACATGGTTGTGGGGATTTGAGGCATTCCCACAGAAAAACCATTTTCTGCACAGAAAATGCCTTTTCAGAAAAGGATGGTGGTTGTAAGCATATCCCACAGCTGGTCTTCTATGTGCTGAATGCTGGATTTTAGGGGTTTTTGGCTTTTGCTTGGAAAATAAAATTGGCTTATACCAAGACCAAGGCCCACCTACACAAGGAGACTGGTGATTGTCTCTGTGATGAGGCTGTTCATTCCCCATCACCTTGAGCCCCTTGCACCACATCAGCACTTCTGGATGACAAGGCAAAGAATTTCTCTCCTACCAATAAGTTCCCCCATGCACCACTTTCTGTACAGTAACAATTGCTTCCCTGGCACCTTAAAAGGCTTCTAAATAAATATCCAAGAAATAATGTTATCTATAATAGTCCCTTTTCATATAATTTCCCCAGTTTGACAGCTGGGAAAACAGAACTAGAGCAGGAGCTGCATTTAAATGCTTGCTTGCTTTCTCCCACACCAGTCTTTTTCCCCAGTTGCTTGTGTTACAGGAAGCATAAATTGCAGCTGTATTGTACATGAACAGGTTCCTTGGTTTCATCATACTTAAATGTAATCACTCTGGAAATGCTGCTGAGTTGGATGTGGGCTTAAGTGTCATTGTATTTCCTCGTTTAGGAGTTATGGAATCTATATAAATCTCTTATTATTTTAGAGCCATATGTTTTACTCCAGAATTATCTCTGTACAGTTGCACTGCTTTATCCCATTTTTAATCACTTTTTTTTTCCTTGCAGCAGACATGGAAGGCAGTTCCCTAAGAAGTCGAGATAAGAGGCTTAGCTTGAATTTGGTAAGTACTCTGCACAAATTTAAAACACTAGCACATAAACTTCAGAGTGAATCATTTCACATCCTGATATTCAATCATTCTTCTCCTCTGTTCAGCAGAAGAATTTAAAAAATGAAAAAGGTGCTTGGCTTTGGGCAACTTTGGTGCTGGCTGCTTTGTGGCCTCAGTCAACCTTTGAGAGGAGAGGGAGGGAGAGGCTTCAATACTGAGCACCCTGGTTTTAAAGCAGATGAAGCTGTATCTGTTATGGAAAAGGTTACCAGTAGCCTCAAGAATTAAACTGTTGACCAAGAGCACCAGAGCAAATGGCTTATTACTTGAAAAAGGGGTCTAAAGAAGCCTATCACTTCATGGTCCTGAGGAATATCTCTTCTTTAGGACATTAGAAAATGTCTGCTCTGACAGTGCCTGTGATTGAAGGCTCTATCAGTCCACAGCTTCCTACAGCAGCACCATCTCACATCACATAGCCATTCTTCTGCCTGAGGCTGGATGCTGTCTTCTGTGGGAGATCCTTTGCTGGTAGTGGGCACCTTTTTTCTCCTTATTGAAAGCTTGCAAGAATTGTAATCGCTCCTTCTCACCACTCAGCCAGCACTAACCTGCACGAAGTGATTTTCTAATGCTCGTTCTCAGTGATCAGAAGTGAGTTGTAGGTCTGTGTCTGCTGTCTCAGGTTCCACATTTGCCACATTTGTCCAGGCCATCAGGTGTTCTCCTTTCAGACTTTTTTTGTATTCAGGATCCTCCCACATTTTATGGGTCAGAATTACTGCTGTGAGAGATAAGTGCAGCCTCACTGAAGTTGGAGGATTAAACCAATAAAGTTACCAGTCAGTTTGGTTCTAGTTTCCAGCAGTGACTTGTGAAGTTCAGCATGGACTGCTCCAGAGCTGGAGTGTTCATCTGAACTCATGCGCTTGTCTCTTGTCGCTCCATCTTGTGCCTCTGCGAGGCCCCATCAGAGGGGGCTCAGCTCAGGTGTGTTCCCAGCTCACAGCAGCTCTGGGCTGGGAGGGGGCTGGCTGTGCATTAACGGAGCCCTTTCTGTCTCTCTGCTCCTGCTGTGCCCACACAGCCGTGCCGGTTCTCCCCGCTGTACTCGCCGGCCGCGGACAGCGCTGAGGACAGCTACGTGCCCATGCGCCCCAGCACCTCTCCCTCCGACTGCTCTCCCGACGGATACATCCCCATGAGCCCCGGCTCGGCCACCTTCACCTTCCCCGTCGTCAGCACTGAAAAACTCACCAGCCCCTTGCCTGAGCTTCCCTCTGACGTGGAGCCCCCTCCAGTGAACCGGGACCTCAAGCCTCGTAGGAAGTGTAAGCCCAGACCTAAAGTGCAAAGCCTGGGGGTCCTGATGGTGGGGACATGGGTGACCCCTTTTGATAGTGTCCTTGGCATGTCTTAAAGCAATTCTGTCTCTAGAGGATGGGTTGAAATGCTGCGTGGGTGACTTACAGCACTGTAGCCTAGGATGTGCTTGCAGGGTGGTTTGTGAGTGGAGGAAAAGCTTCCACGGCTGCTTCTGCAGTCAGAGCCCAGGTGGCTGCATAAGCACAGTGCCTGGCTTCCACTGTGACTGCAAACAGCCAACGGGACCTAGTCTGGGAGAGACAACAGACTAAATCCTGCCACTCTGAGGTACATGTATTCCTGTCTCACTAGCTCTCTGACCTGCCAGGAATGGGACATCCAAACACTCAAGTACTCAGACTTGATGTGGTGGCTGTTGGTTAGACCTCTGTTGGGTAGGCACAGCTGTCTTAGTTTAATCAGGAATTTTCTGCAGATGTTTTTGCTGATGGTAATTTTCCACTTCTGGCTTTCATGGCATGTCCAAAATCTACATTCACTTCAAGGGAATATGCTGGGGACAAAATTCAGCTTTGAAGTGGAGAAATTGCCTAAACCTAGCCTATATTAAAGCTCTTAAGGTTGCAGGTCCACAGGGTTGCTCAGAAATTGGTTCAGGCAGTGCTACTGTAAACGTGGGGACAGACATTTAGACCATTGCCATGAAGAAAAGCAAACTCATATCCTTTCTTAAAGGGTCTTGAGAACGGTGGGCACCTGTACATTGAGTGGTGACAGGAATGGTCCTGATGCCCATGTATAGGGCCTTTCTGTTTAGAACAGAATCCAAAGCCTATTATAACCTGTAGGCTGAACCAACCTCTCCAAGGCAGCATTTACAGAGCATGTTTGGGGCAAGTGTATGTATCTTGTGTGGCATTTGGTCTCTTTATGCCAGCTATATTTATTCTGTTATTTTAGGGTGATTGAAGGACTTTGCTTTCCAGCAGTGACTGAAGAGATCATTTGTTACTGATTTCCTTCTTGGTTATGTTCTGTTAAATACTCTGTTAGTTTCTTTCTGTTAATACAAAACTGCATTTTTCTAAACAATCTGTACTTTTCATTGAAAACATAGTTCCTTTTGTACTTACAGCACGACCACCTCCTTTGGACTTGAGGAACCTCTCCACAATCCGGGAGCATGCTGCCGTGACCAGGATGTGGACTGTGCCTTAGTAAGTCAACAAGAAACCTGCCATTCCAATCTTCTGAGCATTAGTGTGGAATAGAGTTAAAAATAACTTATCCCATCCCACAAGAAAGATTCCTGACAAAGTCCAGAAACAGAAGTTCCCCAAGGTTCCTTTCAGTATCCCCCAGGCTTTTGCTGTCTCTGAAAAGCAGGGCTCCCTTTCATGATTGGCAGCTCCAGAGCATTCAGAATCATCATTTGAAGGTTCCTTTTAAACATCCTGGAGCTGGTCTGCTGGATCACACTCTGGTGTGGCTGCTATGATAGCTAAAAGCTTGGCATGCCTAAACTATGATAGAGCCATTTTTGCTCCTGAAAATTAATATAACAAAGGAGAACCAGGTCAGATAAAGATCTGTCTGAATTGTAGACTGGGTGTAGAATTCTGCACTGCCACACAGCAGTCCAGACTTGAACTTTTGGCATGACCTTTTGTCACTAGAAATTAGTTGTTGGTAAAACAAATGCTTTTGATCCCACAGCCCAGGTAGTATGAGCAGATGATACTATTGGGCTCCAAGGGCAGCAGAAGACTCATCCTCAGGGAACTTGTGAGCAGGGGAGGACTTCAGCCTTCAGCCTTGGCTGGAGGGGTCTTGGCACAAAAAAATACAAGCAGCTGTGCTGAAGTGTGTGTGCAAAAGCTAGAAATTCCCATCAACCTCCTCCACACACCCTGGGCACTCCAGAAAATGTGGGGTTTAGCTGGCATGAGTGCCAGACAGGGCATTTCCACTCCCCCATTTCAGGTTGTCACGTGAAGGGCAAAGGAGACACAAGGTGAGCAGTTTCTCCGTTGCAGAGTCCTCTCTCACATCCAGTCCAAGGCTGGTTAAGCCCCTTGGCACTGCCTGTTAGGGGAAGCCAATACCCTGCCTCCCAAGCACCCCTGCCAGAGCACTGAGGTTAATCAGTGCTGACACAGTGCAGAGTTCTGAAGAATAATGAGCTTAGAGTGAGGTTGCATGTTTTACACTAACAAAAATTTAAAAGTTATGCCTGAAACTAATACAGCAAAAGGAATTATGCTGTTCATGCACAGTGAGGCCATCTAATTTCCTATTAACCAAGCCTATTGTGCTTGCCTGTGGTAATTTATTCACCATGCAGCTCTGAGAGTTGTGTTCATGGGAGAGATTTCCTTGTGCAAGAGCTGAGTCACAGCCATCTCCATAGCACAGGTGGCAGGTGTTGACACTGTGTACAAAGCCAGACCAAGTTCCTTTGCATGTACCTCCAGCAACTGATTAATTCACATCAGTCTCCAAAATGTGAATACCTGCACAGCCAAGTAACTGCTCCCATTATTACCCAAATGAATGATAGCTCTGTAGCCCTTGGTAGAGAATTGCTTCAATGTTTTACAGTTTCTGTTGTACCAGATAGCAAACTTTCATAAATCCCAGAGGAAAAAAAAAAAAAAATCAACAAAATCAGTCAGCAATATAGCACACTATTTCTAGAGCTAAGGAGTGGCTTTGGACATCCTCTCCGTAAAGGCCACAGCCTTAGTGTGAGTTTATTCACCATATGGACTGTGTCAGGCTTTGGCTTCATTTCAGTGCATCTGTAAGATGCTTCCTTAACCTCTCCTGTGTTTTTCTTCATAGCAATCGAATGAGCTTTATCTCACCAGAAAGAGACGGTATTAATTCAGCAAGAATATTTGCCAATTCAGTTTCCGGAGAAGAGGAAGAAAGTTACATTCATATGGTAATGTCATTTTCACACAGCCATCCTTTGCTTTATTCTGCTCTGTCACATTGATGGAGAATGCAGAAGTTTGTTTTCTAAGAAAAAAACGTTGAGGAGGTTTGTCCTTTGCCTTCTGGTTTCTTTTTTTTTTTTTTCAAATGATGAAATGGTTTTAAACCAAAGACACTGGGACCAATTTACAGAGAGATAAGGGAAGCCCTTTTCCTGCTCTGCAGAACTCAGCTGTTCACCCACGAATGTTGCTGAACAGTTCCAAGAGATCACAGGGATCAGCCATATTTACATGAGAACTCATTAAGACAAAAGAAAATTAAATCTTTTCACCTTTTGAAAGTGTGCCTTGCAAAATCTCCTAGGAAATAACAGAAAGCCATTAGTGCTCTTCCTAAAGAAACACACCAAATATTGTGCAGAAACAGAACTCCCATTAGAGTCTCATTGCTTCTGCTTTGGCTGGTGGCACTAACCCCACTTCCCATCCCATGAAAGAAGAACATCTGGCTTTGCGGCTTACTTGTTTTCATTTACTCTTTAGCCATATCTTGCAAAAGAGCAGAATCTTGTTTTACTTTGAATTTTAGGCGGAAATGGATCTCAAATCCATTCATCTGAGCCAATGTCTACAGATCTGCTCCATAGCCAAAGCCCAGTAGCAGTAGCTATAAAAATATATTGCAAAACTGACCCCAGTCTCCATGAATCATAGTTTCAAATGTTAACCCACATCTCTACAGGACTGAAATATGCTCAAGAGGGCAGTTCCAATTGTAACCATTCCCTGTCTGGTTTTTCCAGTCTAGGAAAACCTGACATATGTTTGGTTATTTGTGATTTTATGAGAATAATTTTCAGTTTCTATATTTGAACTGAATTTTCACTATTTCTTCAAATTCATTGAATGATGATGTTTAAGTGGGCACCCCTGCAAATCTGAGTGTTCCAAGGGCTTGGATTAAGAAGCTGGGCACAAGTCCTTCTTGATAAAATTGAGTGTGATTTAGCTTGTTTTGTTTGCTGTGCCAGAATTATCAGAAGAAAAAGATTCTCATGATTTCTTTATGCTATCCCATAATTATCAGTATTATGCTGTGGTTAGTAACCAAATGCACCCTTGGCTTAGAAAATTATGTGGGCCCTGATTGTTCTCATTCACTTTCTGCCAGGTGAATCTCCCAACTCCCAACTGTGATCCTGTTCCCTTCTAGGATCATGTGTTTAGAGCATTAAAAGTTTTTCTTCTTTCCTGACAGGAACACAGACAGGCCACCTCTCCATACAGTGGTGCTTTTCCATGGACAAGGAAATCTAACCTTGATTACTTAGCACTGGATTTTAACTCTGCTTCCCCATCCCCTGTGCAGAAGGTACGAGTCATCTGAAAAACTGGCAGCCTCCTGCCTTTTTGTCTGCAGGGAGGAAATCCAGACCCAGGGATTCTGCTAGGTGCCCTAAGTGCCATGATGAAGCCAGTCGTGTTGCCAGCTGACTGTATTCGTGTCAGGCCCAAGATTAATATGATAAAAGCATGATGAGGGTGCTGACAGGGTGTCCTTAGTGTGACTCATGGGGCTGCTGCTGACACGAGCTCGGCACAGGGTATGAGACTGCACTGGGAAGTGCAGCCATGAGGGCTTGTGGGCAAGCAGGTTGATGCTTGCAGGTTCTCTGCATGCTCCTTCATTTTCATCAAGTCTCCACAAAGCCTTTCCTGCTAGTTTTCCCAAAAATCTCTTTGCAGTAACAAGTTTGCAGCCCATGATAAATTAATGGGGTAAAACTGTACTATCTCTTATAATATGGCAAAATGTGCATCTTTATTCTTGCATCACCAAAACAATTTCAATTTCTTTTGCAATGCTGAGAAAATACATTCCTTGTTCCAAAGAACTTCTAAGCTGCCTAAGTGGTGGGTAGGTACCACTGCAAAGCAATGAACTGTTGTCAGTTTGGATCACTTTATGTCCTGTGTATCATTTTCCCCATCAGCCAACACTCCCAGATGCAAAAGACTCAAGACTCTTAAGCTTTCTTATTTAAACCCTCCCTATATCTAAAATCAGGTTATCCCTGCAGCAGGATCACTCAGATGAGGAGAGAATGATTATCTGCATGGAAATAGCCAGTACAGCATGTTTCCCTCACTTGCTGTGCTGGGCTGAGTGACAGGGTGGCAGATGGAAAATTATAGCTAAAGCAGGCTGTAAAGCAATGCTTTTGTCAGCTGATGTCACTGTGAGCTTCGAGGTGAAGTGAAGCAATCAAGGAGCGAGGGAAAGCGAAAAGAGAAAATCAAGCTAGGTTTCACTAGCACCCCTTTTCAACCTGAGAATTAAAACATTGTTTTTTTCCTCTCTGTCCCATAGAAACCTTTTCTGTCTGAGGAACAGAGAGTGGACTATGTCCAAGTAGATGAACAGAAGACTCAAGCTTTACAGAACACTAAGCAAGAATGGACAGATGAAAGACAATCAAAAGTATAAAGGAAGATTTGGGATCTGGAGGGATTTTTTTTGCACTGGAACCACAATGTTAATGAAGCAGCTATCACAGTAGAGCTCAAAGGCAGAGTTGTAAGATGCTTACAGACTGTAGAGGCATTTTTACTGGAAACCTTTGATTTCAGCTGGAAAAAGTATGTTGAGTGAGTGAGTGGTTCACTGATGACTAAAGTAATGCATTAGCCTTTTTACTGCCCTTACCAGTACGCTCCATGGTACCATTTTCTGGCATGATTCTGCAACGAGTCATACACTTAACGTTAACAAATCCACTACAAGTTGTATTAATCTAGTTCATCCTGCCTTCTCCTTCTGTTGCATAATTCCTAGTTGCTAAAGCTATTTTTTGATATTCCTACAAATGCTGCAGGTGCTCGGAGTACTTTTATGGCAACAGGCATCTGACAGGTTTTGGTGACTAATCAACTAAGGGCTAAAATACTGAAACAATAATAAAACTTTTTGAATATATAGTGCTTAAGCAAAGAGAATTTTGAAAACTATTTTTCCCCTGGGTTTAAAAGGTCTGGCTGTGAGCTGATGCTGTCAGAACTCAAAACAGGACTACGTGCCCATGCGACTGGAATGCATGGTCTGACCCTCTGGATGATGGTCATTGTATTAAGCTTCTTCCCTCCATTGTGGCTCATACGTGTCACTTTTCTGTCTGATTCCTACTGATGCTTTCTCCCCTGTCTTGGGAAGTGTCGTTGGCACAGCACAGCTGCTCTTCTAGCAGGAGACTGCAGCCACACAGCTCTTGGCTGGCCAAAAAATAGAAAGGGAAGCTGTGAGCCTGTTTCTGCAAGCCTTGAGAGAACTGGCAAAGGATCAAGACTGCTTTCATCTGAACGGCAGAAGGAATGCCATTGGAATGCTGGTAGCAGTCGTCAATCTGATTGTTTGACTAGACCCACCCCAAAATAAAAAAGAGCATTAGGAAGTGCAGCGTGCTCTGAGAGGCCGGGAGCCTGCCAAAACAGGACAACAATGTGCTCACGCAGCGTGAGGACCTCTGGGCTCAGGAAGCTTATCTACCTTGGGACTTGTTACAGGCACTATCTCAGGATGACACATGTGTACAGTTTATAAGATATTTAACTTTAAACGCTTGGCTGTGGTCTGTATTCTACAGTGGCACACAGCCACTTGGCTCATGGAAGTAGGCAGTGGTGCTGAGTGACCCACACTGGATTTGGTCTCACGGGCTTTGCTCCTGTAGGTGAGTCCCAGTAGCCATAAGAGGTCTGATCCTGTCAACATGGACAGACAGGACCCTCATAAAAGATTTCTTCTCTGACAGTGCCAATTCGCTGGCCTCCCTTCATGTGCCTGTTGTTACCACATTGCATTGCTGTAACCTGACATCCTAAAAATTCAAATCTACCAAACAGAGGTCACAGAAATGGCATTGCAGAAACCACTGGCATTTCAAGGCTCCTACTCAACTTGTTCCTTACACTCTGTGTGCTCTGATCATTCAGGCACTCTGGGAGGCCATCGCACATCCCGTGGGAGAGGCAGCACAGCTAACAGAAACACAGTTTTCCTCCTACCTCAAGAGAGCTGCAGGGCTTGCAAGTCTCACTGCTTCTTTAGCCCAGCCCCTGGGGATCTGTTATGGCCAGGATCTCACTAGGTTACCCTGCAAGAACAAGGTTCACCAGCACCTTTGGTGCCTGGGGCAAACTGTACACCCAGGCCTGTGTGCATGAAGTGTCCTGGCCTAGAGCTGCTTGGAAATGCAGGGTTAGTCCTGCAGATAGCTGACCTGCTGTTCCCTCCTGCCCTGCTCCTCCCTCCCTCACCAAAGCTCTCAAAGTTGATGTTCATAAAAATTTTGAAAATAGTTCCAACTTTTCCACATGCACCTTGTCTGTCTGGTTTAAAATTTAGTTTGTTAAAACCCAGCTGTTTTGTCCTCTAACTGATTTAGCAGAGCTGGGAGCACCCATGCCTTGGGAGTGATATTGTTACAGGGGCAGGGCACTTGGGGAGAGGCAGTGGAGATCTGCACCTGCACAGAGATGTTAGAGAGAGGGAAGCGTGGAAGTGCCACAGATACTGTGGATACTGAGAGACTTTTGCCTTTCTGCTCAAAAGAATTGCCTTTCTTTCAAAGTGTGCAAATAATACATGTCACTGAAAGCTCTTGGTATGTGCTGATGTACTGAAAGGGTTAAAAGATCAGCTAAAAGGCATTTTAAATCACAGACAGACAACCTCCACAAAGGGTGAGAGAAGTTATGTTCTGCAACTGCAGGTCCCAGATTGCAGAGTGATGGCAGTGCAGCCTCTGATGCGGATCAGAATCACATACAGATCAGCTCATGTTTGACTGGAGTGTTTCCTTTCATGCTGTCAGAAAATCTTCTGAAGTGGAAAAACACCAAGTTATTGGAGACAACTGACTCACTTGTTATTCTAGTTTATTGTAAAAATATTTAAACTTCAACAAACCTGGCTAACGGATCATTCAGAAGTTTAGAGAAGAAAGAGCTGTATCTGGATTTTTACTCCCCTAAAAGGACATAAGCATATAGCTTGGCAGGGACTGTCCTTAGAGGAGAATGGCCCCTTTCAACTTCCCGTGTCCCCTGCTTGCCCTCACAATACTCTTATCTTGATCAAATGCTGCTCACTGGTTTCTAACTTTTAACTTAGAGCTAAATTTGAGGGTTTATTCTGATTTTTCATGTAATGTCCTTTACCAGCTGCTTCAGGGCCCATGACATACATTCTTGTACAGGTAAAACACATGAAACAGGAAAAATTAAAAAATACTGGGAAAAAAAAATTAAAAGCAGAGCAGTCCTTCTCAAAGGCTTTTTTCTTTTGTTTTGGTCAAATTCCACAATACTTCAAAGAGGGTTAAGAGGAGCAGGATGGTGGGAGGATGGCAAAGCCAGATCTGCTGGGGCCACCTTACCACTAAGGATTTGGGTGTGAGGGGAGCAGCAGCAGCCACGACTGTGGGCCAGTCCCACAGAGCAACTGCTGGGAGTGCAGGAGTGTTACAGAGCAAAAAGGAGTTACTGTTCAGTTAAGTCTGTTCTTAAATCCTAATCCCTTGGCCAAGAAGGAAAGTAAACATGAAAACTGAGTCAGCTTTTGACAATGCCATGTCTGAAAATATAGCCCAGGCCAGAGCCCTTGGTTAGTACTGGCTCTGGGGCCAGCCAGGCGCGCTCCTGATGGTGTCCTATTGTTGCCATGGGTCTGTTACTTGCATGTATTTTTTCCAGAAGTGTGATGAGAGCTGATGCAGAGAGATGCTCTGCACCTAAATGAGCACAGAGTGGCCAGTGGTCCCTTAGCAAACTCTGCTGAGGGAATTGGCATTGCCCAGCCCAGGTATTGTAGTGCCTTCTCCAGCACTGCTGGGGCCTCTCATTAAAAATAGGGAGAGCACTAAATGAGCAGCACAGTTTTAGTTTAATTGGAAATGTCACCTTGTGGAGTTGCTGGATGAAGCTTGGTTGCAGGATGACGTGGAAGACAACCAAGCTCAATGGTTTGAGTCCTGTGGTTATTGTTGGGGCCATCAGCTGGTTCCCCCCACTGATGTGTTTAATATGGCCTTACTCTCTCCTTCAGTGACTGCACATTTGACCGAGGCATGGCAGGTCCACAACTCATTTTCTTTTTGGACTAAACTACGTTTCACATTTATAACCCCTTTATGACAGGAGGCAGCATTAATTTCCTTACTGGCAGAAATGAACACTTGACCTGAGAAATGCCAGCAGCCATGTATAACTGGAGCAAGGTGTTTTCAGCCAGCTCACTTTGCCAGTGGTAGCACTTGCTTTCTTCATTGTCACTAACTACATCCTAGATGTAGATTTCGGGGTTGCATTCACTTGCAGTAATTCAGAACTTTAATAATTCAAAGACCATCAGATGCTGTGATGAGAATGAAGTACAGGGCAATGCCTTCCCTTTGTCCCCCTCTTCCGCAAAACTTGCTCAGGTTTAAAAAAAATGAAAGCCACCAAAATAGCAGACATTTGCCATGTCAAAGCCAGGATATTTTTTGTTTTCAAACAAAAATAAACTTTTTTCTTGTGCAAATGAAGCATTATACATTTTTTTGTATTTGTAAATCTGTGGGGAAGCATTAAACAGTCATCTCTGTTATGAAGGGACAAGTCATTGCTAGAGGGAAGGGGCTCACCTTCCTCATGTTTCATTGTAATGTTTGGTGTATATATTTGCACATTAAACTGTATCTTTTTTCTAATAAATTAATATAAAATGTAGCTGTGATCTTTAATTATTTTGGTACGTGAAGGTGCTCATGGGATAAACTCCCACATCTTTCATTTAACGCTTTTTCCATTTTTTAATTCTCTTATTAGGCAGTGACTTGTTCACATAAAATGTTTAGATGCAAGTTCAAACAAATTTGCAAACAAATGTCATGTACCTGTGTATCGGGGAGATTATTTGCAGAATAACAAAGAACTGTGAGACTGTGACTTGGACTCATGTCTGTGTCCACCTGGGACAGGGTGTGCTGCAGTCCCCCAGTCCCAGCCCCAGCTCCTGCTGCCACAGCCAAAGGGCAGGAAGGGTCACAACTCCTGGCCAGCCATGTAGAGCACAAGCACAAATTTGTTCAGCACATGCTCCAGGCTTGGATACAAAGGCTAGTTGTTATTTAACCTGGTCTTTTAATTGCTCTGTGCTGCAGAGGGGAGTTGCTGGTAATATAATTTCCACATGCAGTAAGCTAGTGTTGTAGGATCCTTTTAATGTGCACATCTTGGGATTTGGAAGATGAAACAAGGCAATCCATGGGAGCAGAGCTGAGCAAGCCTTGCTGCTAACAAGCCAGGTAGTTTGGAAATAGTTTATTTATTGCTTCAGGCGAGTGCTACTTTTGGATCTGCATGCTTTGTAATCCTGGCTGGAGACACACCGTGGTGGGTTGAGGGAGGTGTAGTGCTTCGGGAGGCGCTGATGGAAACTTGGCTGCACAGCTCGAGGCTCACAGACACGTGTGACTGAGATAAGCCTCTGCCTGCAGGCTTGATAGAAGGGAACTCCATGACATTTTGTGTTTGGTCTTCAAGGGAGGGCAGGTCAGACAAATAAAAGGTCAGATAAAGTCTGACTGATGGTTCACAGCTCTTCCCTGTGCTCTGCCCAGCAGAAATGGCAACAGCCCTTTCACCAGAGAGCCTTCCCAGAAAAGTTCCTCCCTCCTCCCACAGCCTCGGAGGGAAACAACTGCATCAGCCCTGCCACCATGGAGTGAGCCGGGAAGCTCTCAGACTTCTCACACCTCCATGCAAAGTACTTTACTGATTGGATAATAATAATAATAATAATAATAATAATAATAATAATAATAATAATAATAATAATAATAATAATAAATAATATTGTGAAAAAGCTGACAGCAAAATGTCTGCATATGTGAGTACTTGGCTCTATAGAGGCTGGCCTCTCTAGTTACGTCTGCAATTTCAAACCACATCAAATACTTCCCTGAAGCAAAAAGCCACAGAGCAGCCAGCCAGGTGGCAAAACCAGGTTATCTTCATGGGATGTGAAAAACAAACCTCTCCAAAAAGGCAGTAATTCCCTATCATAGAATCATAGAATATACCTTGAGTTGGAAGAGACCCACAACAAACATTGATGTCCTACTCCAGGTCCTGCACAGCACAGCCCCAAGGATCACATCATGTGCCTGAGAACATCATCCAAACTATTATTGAGCTCTGGCAGGCTGAGTACTGTGACCACTTCCTTACAGAGACTGTTCCACTGCCCACCCTCTGGGTGAGGAACCTTTTTTTTTATATCCAACCTTTCGGCCTAACATTATTTTGTCTCCTCAGCTCTTCTGGTTAAGTGCAATTGCTTTGGTCTTTTTTAGCTAGAGCTGCTCAGTAGAGCATCTGCCTTAGAAACAAGCATTCCTTCGTAGTCCTCGGGCTCTGTATCAACTCACCGCAACAGATATCTCTGGTGATGATACCTCGTTTCTCTCCGGGAGATCGCCAAGAGTTTTGGTAACAAAGCTATACTTAACTTCCATTTCTTCGTGTGGCTTTTGCAGGACTGTGGCTTCCCCCAGGCCAGTGGCAGTAGCAGAAACAACGCTCAATTTGTGGGGTCTTAGTCCTGTGCTTTTGCTAGCAACTTATGCAGGCTTCACACTGTGTTTTGACAGGTCTTAAGATCTGCATTTCCCTATCAAACAGCTTGTAAATCTCCTCTTCCAGTTGTTTAGTGCAGAGAGTGCAGAGGGACTCTGCTATCGGGTTATACATATTAATGGGAGCACACTGGGAGCCAGGGGTATCACATCCTGCAAACAAAGGCTGCACTGGCAGAGGCTCAGCCCATTCCCACCTGGGGAGCTGATCCCAGCCCCTGTTGTAATGCAGGAGTGAGCAGGGAGCAACCCAACCTTTCATTCACTGTCCTGTTTTGTTCTACTTTGATTTTCCTTTCACATCCAATTTTAGCATAAGCTCATTGTTAAACAGCCCCAACATCCTGCTCTGACAGCTTTGGGATCTCAGCATTGGCATATCCATCACTGTGTAAGTCTGAAAAGCCCTTGCTCTCTGGTGGGCCCTTAAAGCTTTGAGCAATTTGAGGGATGTTTTCATGGCATGTGTTTGTGGTGGTTGTTGCAGTTCAGTTTGCTCCTTCGTTCAGAAATTCCATGCTTTGCCCAGGAGCTCAGCTTCTTGGAATTGCCTCTGACTGTGCTGCTATCTTCACATGGCTGTTTGCCACTGCTGCTGTCATTTCTTAGCGTCCTTCCCCACATGAGCAGCGTGGGGGAGACCTGCTCTGCATTTTCCCCCAGAAGGGAAAAACCACAGAGCCCTGCCATGAAGCATCCTTTCTGCCACCTACTCCAGGAGACTGTCACTCTGACAGCATCTTGGTTTTCTCTGGGAAGGCACAGAGTGTTTTGTAGAGTTACACAACAGTGAAAAGGACAAGACATCAAATAGAGGCAGCACTGGCAGGTGTCTGCAAGCACTTGATAAGGTGCCAGAAGGCAAATAGAGCCTTTTCCTTTAAATTTCCATATCAAAATTCAGGACAAGCTTTAAGTGCAACCTTTTATAGCGCCTGAAAGTGAGAATTCCTCTACAGAAAGACATGGAAGATTGAGCAACACAGGAATTCATAAAATCCCTGAGGTCACCATAACTCCTCCATGTCTCTGTTTAGCATTAATGTGGCTTTCAGGAAGCAGCCAGGCTTATCAGGCAAAGGGAGGCAAAGTTTCCAGAAGGAGTCCTAGCAGGGCTTGGGTACCCCTATGCAGTACCCAGCTGAGATCCTGCCTACAGCCCCAGTTTGAGACTGAGCTGTTCCCCTTCACACCTGAACTGTCACCGACCAGGGGCTGGTGACAGGGCTGTGCCTGGTGCAGGCAGCCCCGCAGGGACAGACTGACCCTCTCCTGCTCCCGCTGCTGCTGCTTCCCCCGGCGAGAAGCCTCACACCCACAGGGCTCTGCCCAGGCCTCTTGGGGCCCCAAAAATCCAGAGGCTGAGAGATTTGCCCTTGGCCATAGGAGCAGGTGACTCAGTCAGTCACACCTTAGGGTATGTTCATTTAGACTATGAACAATTTATTTTAAAGCACTGAGCAAGCCTGGTGTATTGACTCTGGCAAATGAAGTTCCCCCAAAATGGTAAGGGCTTCCCTGAAGAAAATTTATCTGGATTTTGGTGTAAATTTCATCCATGAAGATGAGGCAGGCAGCAGGACAGCAAGGCAGGCTGTTTACAGTTCAAAACAATAGATGTCTTTTTTAAAGTGTTTTTAAAATAAAAAATAGAAGATTCATCATTTCTTTGGTTTAACTTCCTCCACAGTTAGTCAGAAATCATCAGGAAATAGCACCGAAGGAAATCCATGCTGTTCTGCCTGGTCAGCACAAGGAATGTGCTCACCCAGAGGACTGTGGAGGGGGGGCTCTGCCTCTTCAGAGCTGAGCAATGCACCAGAGACAGCTCAAGAGTGAGCTTGCATGACATGTAAAGACAAAATGACAGGGAGCAAACATAAAGATGGATTTCCACAATCAGCACACCCAGAATCTAATTTTGCACCAAATTAAAATTTGGAATAGCAGAAATGTCAGTAATTCTTTTTTGCATGTTTATATATGGGGAGGAAAAAAAACACCCCACAAACCACACACTTTACCATCCATACACCTCTTCAGACTTTTCTCCAAACAGCTCTGACTTTTAAATGATACCCAAGACTCAACAGTTTCATTTCTACTGCAGACCTACCTTATCTTTGTGCTCCTCTCACCAGTGCCCACACCATTAATCCTTCTACAGTCCACAGTTGGACTGAAAAGTGCTTGAATGTACTTTTTTACTTTCAGCCTCTGTGGATCAAGTTCGGAGGAAAGGATGTCTTGGTGTTATTCCATCAACTATGGGTACCTGTACATTTGTGGCTGCAAAACAGAGATGTGTAAGTGAAAACAGCATCCTTTTTCATTGGCAATGTAACATTAATCCTTCTAAAGAGCTCTTGCTAACCCTGCTGACCACAGTTCACTGGAAGAAACAGAGGGAGGAGCACATAAAGTGGCTGGTCTGTACTGGGAGGAGGTGCAAAGCAGATGTCCAGGAGCTGGGGGCGAAGAGAAGAGCAGCTGCATCCATGAGGTTTATTTCCACCCCGCAGATGAGACATTGCATAGGAAAGGTTGAGTAGGTGAAAAACCCCAACCTCATTTATACAGGCTAGTACAAAGTCTGTATCTTTTCTAGAAAGAGATCACAGAATCACAGAATAAGCTGAGTTGGAAGGGACCCACAAGGCTCATTGAGTCCAACTCCTGTCCCTGCACAGGACCATCCCCACGAGTCACACCATGTGCCTGAGAGCATTGTCCATGTTTCTGGTTTGAGCTGTATCTGCCCTACATCATTCCACAGCAGCGATTTGGCTCTTCCACCACTCCTTAGCTCTCTCACTTGTGCTTCCCCTGAGGAGACAGACACTTCCAGGCTCACCCTCATGGCCTCTCTGGTGTCACAGAGAGCAGAGCCTGACCCATGCTGGCAGGTCCCCAGGCTGCTCCAAAACAGATAGGGAAAATACTCTCTACAGGCAGAAAATCAGGTGTGTCCCAGCCTGTATCCAAAGTGTACACTCAGAAAGGAAAAATAGTTCTGAAATGCATCTTGTGTTTATCAGGATTACTTTTGCTATGGGTGCCTTTGATCTGCTTCCCAGGGAAGCAGCAGGT